AAAGGCACTATAACTTGTATAAGTGACGACTTATGTCCAAAACCAGTAAATCAACTTAAACCACTCAAAATCCATAAGTAAATATCTAATCCACATCATCTGTCCTCAATTCCTAAAACCGAAAGAAATGATGGCTTTGATGGCAATTAATCAAAGTTAAACAGAACATGAGTCGATGTTGTTATTTGTTGCTGTTGTGTAGATTGAGGTATTCTCAAGCAATCGAGCGAGAGAAAAAGGGTTTCAATACCGAACTCGGGGGATGGATGGAGTTGACAAAAACTTTGTTTGTTTTGTATTAAGATTTTCGGGTTGATCAGACACGCTCCAATAAACACACAAGTCGTTAAATAAATTGATAAAATTTGCTCCTCCTCTAGTGGTATTTTTTGCTGACTTTTTCGCAAAGAAAGAAAAAAGGCGTGAAGAGCGGCAATAGAAAATTATTTTCAATAAGCTATATTCGCATAATAAGAATCCTGGCGCCATGAGAATCAATAAATTTCTCATGCATAAAATTTTAATAAATTGTTGTCTTCAATGACCCCCCTCGAGACTGAGAAAGAAAGTTCTTTCGGAAAAGAAATATAGGAGATGATATTGTTGATGTCTATACAATAAAGAAAAGAAATAAATCCTTTAAATTCAAATATTTCATTACTTCCGACAATGTTCCGTCGATATGATTTTATGATATATTTTTTTGTCATCATTTATAGATATTTAAAATATTGTTAAGAAAAATTTCCATATTTTATGAATTTTAATGTTTTAGGGGTTCTGGATGTCCTTAGATTTTGATGAATTGATGCGATTCTGGAATACTTATACGATATTCAATTCAAAGTTTCACGTAGTTTAATTTTAAACACATCAAACTTTCAAAACCAGTTAAATCTGCATAAAGTTCCCAAAAAACAACTTACTTTCCAACTCCGAACCACATCTCCATATTTACTACTCAAAAATTTAAATCCAAAAAATTCTTTTGCAACCGAAAGTAACCTCTATAATCATAAAACATCACGACATAAAGTGTCTCGAACAATGTGCGACTTCTGATATTCATCGTATCCTTTTATCATAAATTTTTAATGCTATATTATGGATCAACTCAAACGTAACGAAGAGATTTTCTATCTTTTTTTTTTTATTTCATATGGTATTCATCTATTTATTCGACATATTCATGGAGAGGAGATGCTCATTATTCAGCGCGAATCTTTTATTTTCATGCAGAGTGTGCTGTTTGAAGGGTGGATTTAAGGTATATGAAGTTTTTGTTGTAATAATTTTGCAGTTTTGACGACTTTAACGTGTTGGATTATTGATCTTCATCCCTAGGTTGATGACTTTTTCTTTTCTTTGTCTTACTCGAGGGGTTTGAAGAAAAAATTTAAATTTTAAAAAGAATATTGAAAAATTTATTAAAAACCATCATCGTTTTATGTCTTTTCCTTTGATATCTCAATCAACCTACTTTTTATACTCCACACACCATTTATCATACTTCAATGTGTATTAATAAAATATTTAAAAAACATCAATAAGTTATAAGAATTGAATGTGGAAGAATTTTTCATTATGATTTTATGTCCTCGAATATTTTATGCCATATCTCTTTTAGAGAGAACTGAAAAAGGGATGAAAATAAAAATCGATTATTGTCAAATAAATTGCTTAATAAAAAATTTATAGCTAAGTAAATGAGGTTTTTCAATATTTCCTTTCAGACTAATAAAAAAAATCATTTCAATTGTTCGACATTCTTCTTTGTAGGATTAATAAAAAATTCATGAAAAATCATGAAAGGAAAAAATCTGCTTTTGACTTTTATGGATTTTTAAATGATGAGTTTTGAATGGTAAATTGATTGCTTTTCATGGTCAATTCTGTTGATGATTTTGGAGAGAAGTTTGAAAATGTTGTTGATATTTAATGCTTAGTGATGAAGGATGTGAGGCAATTTTATGCTTAATGTGAATATTATGTAAGTTATGGCTTTGAAACCTAGTCAGTTGCTGCAATATAGTAGCTTTATATTTGAAAGCTAGTAAATTGAAATGAGCTATAGTAGCAAAACCTATAAAAATTGTTAGTAGTTACAAGATAGAAGCTAGTAGCTTTGAAACCTTGTTAATTAATGCAAGCTAGTAGCTAGTAGCTTTGAAAACTAATTCAATTTAAAGCAAGCTTTACAGCTAACACGAATGATGAATATTGAAGATTCAAAGAAGCTCGCTAGCTCGATCTAGCTTTACCCACTAGATTTGATTCTTAGCACCAAAGGCTCTTATAATCCACAGATAATCAAAAACTTACAACTTTAAAAAACATCCTCAAAAAAATCAATAAATGAACGCAAAAACTTTTTTAATCAATTTTCTTCAATTTTCCATCGAATTAAAAATTAATACAAATGTTTGAAAAATTTAAAATCTCAGCTTATGAAAAAAAAAAAAAATTTTCTTTTCCTTTAAAAAAATGATTTTTCATCTTTGATCTTCCATCTAATCCATCAAACGTACACCTTCCATTCCATGATGTACAGAAACACGAAAAAAAAAATCTAAATGGAGTGAGTCGATTTTTTTAATTTAATTCCTCACTCATTCAATTGGAACGAAGGATGAGCATCATCATAAGTTAAGAGAGGGGGAATATGAAGGTGAGGTATTTAATATGTATCAAATAATATTGTCTATTAAATTTCCGCGAGATATAAATTTACAAACACGGAAATACGTCGTTGATCTCAAAAATGTAAGTCGTTCCACACCTCCACAATACTGGCTGTGAAATGGATGAGAAGGAAAGGCGAAAGAAATTGAAATTTCATTTTCTCATCTACTCATCCTCCCAGCTTAATTCCACAGCCAGCATTGCTCGCGGGGGAGTTTGATGTTTACAAATATATTTGTGACATATTAAAAGTTATTGCTTGTGACAATTCATATTTAATATTATCAGAGTACGTGGAATCAGGATATAGATAAAGTGAGTGAATGAATGAATGAAGGCATGGATGGTTGGCAACAAAGAGGCATCAATGTCGCGTGAAAATTTAATAACATTGGAGTAAAAAGTGAACGTTGATTCTGAATGAAGTTGAATTGCTTGTTCGAGGAGAGATGCTCATGTTGTTGCTGTTTGTCATTCATTTAATGAAGAATAAGGCGAGATATTCAATATATTGAGAAAGTTGTCAGGACTGCATGAAAATAATACAAAGAGGCATTTATATGATGATATTTTACTTCTAAGCTACATAAAAGTCAAGTTGCAGCAAAATCACCAAATACGTGTGCCGGAACACATAGCTAAACAGACTCATACCTCTGAATATTCATTCCATTCTTAATTATTGTTTTTAATTTTTTAAACAGGAGTAAATGAGACTCAATAAAAGTTGTCTCAGACACTCATAAAATATAGTAACAGCTACTTGGCACGACGAATTTAAAACCAATAAAACCTAAAACCCGACATCCCGCCGCTTGCATTTATAAATTCAGTTATTAAAGTTTTTAATCTAGCTTATTTTATGAATTTTTATAAGGTTGAATAGATGTTATTAAGGTGATGGTTCAATCAATTCGAGAATGGATTTTGAATCCACGATGCTCAAGAAAGCTAGACTTGAACTGAAGAAGTTAAGATCTAGTCCGAATCGAACCTATCTTCTTGTTTGGATTCATATTTTGTCTCAACGTTTGTTCTTTGACCTTTAAGTCTTGTTTTCAACTAAGCCATTACAATTTAGGTTCACAAATTTTTAACATCCACCACCTAGCCAGTCTAATGCCAAAAAATCTCATAAATATCATTCCATACGTGCCGATTTGCCCATAAACTAAAGAATTATTCAAGCCAAATATTGATTCTTTTTTATTAACCACGCGGAAACTTTCTTTTGATCATCAAATTAATAAAAATTATTAAGTCGAATAAAAATTAATTGATTGAAATCCGATGAAATATGATAAAATCATTTATAATTGCTACACATGCACTAGCAATAAAAATCAAATTTCATATTTGGGATTTAAATTCAACATTAATTTTATGACATTGTAATAATTAAGAATCTTTGTGAATGAATTAAAAAAATTGCAATAAAGAAATATTGAATTGTTGAAAATCTTCTTTTGGATGTTAACGGATATATCTCAAGTTGCTACCTGAGTCAAGAATCAAAATATTGTTAGGAACAACAATGTTCATGGAATTTTGATTCTTTTCTCATCCCTACAACAACAGTTGTTGTTGTTTCCCTTCCTTTTGTAATGTTTTTTTCCTCCTAAATCCTTCCGAGTAGCTGCTATTGCCGCTACTTATAAAATATCCTTCGCTACTCAAAACAATTTTTCCTATTCGGTTGAAAATATCCCCTAAATGAGTAGCAAGGATGCAGACAGTAGCATCAGTAGATTAAATTCAACAAGTGCCAATGGCAATTAGACGCCTAGTTCCTCGTCGTAATTAACAGAATCCTAATTAATATTTTATTGATCTTCGGGACATAGAAGTGTAATTACAAATATTATGCACCCAGACTCCACTTGAAAGTGAATTTTATGTCTGAGAACTTCTCCACCTTCAAAATATTTTATGTGCGTACATGAATTTACGTCCTTTACAGATGAAGATCATTATTATTATTGTTGTTGTTAATGCCACACATTGATTTTTTTTGGAAGTGTAAATTTATTGGGATGTTGAGTAGTCACTTTGGGTTGATATCGATTAATTTTTTATTGAAATTGCTTACAATTGGAATATAAGAGGAATTTGTTAAGCATTTTATGAACAAACTGTTAGAAATACTAAAAGTCATTCATAAGTCTTCAATAACCTTAAAAATCAATTTTCAAAAATACGCTAAAATAGAAAACGGCTTTAATTTTAAGCTACGATATTTTAATAATAGTAACTGCTCTGTTCAGTATAAATTACAAGAAAATTTGACAATTGATAAAAGTTATACTTAAGATATGAGTTCGAATCTCAATAGAAATTTATTAATATTCTTTAATTTTGAAATATCATGTTTTAGAAATTTTATTTTAGATAATCAGTTGACAAACTTATTTTTTGGCTAGTCAAAAAGTACAACGATCACATGAATCAAGCCAATAAATACGCCTTATCCACCTGCTCAATCATAACCATCAAAAAACTTTCAAAAATTAAATCTCTTTATTTTTATGTATTTGTGTTAAGCTTGGTAGAAAAAAAAGTTTATGGCAGTAAGAAAAAAAAAGGCAAAGAATACAATGAGCAGGTAAAGAAATTTTTTCATCTATTTTGTTACTTCTGCTTCTAATTTACCAACTCATACGCACATTCTTCTAAATTCTTTCTTTACACTTTCATTCCTACGCACATTCACATAAAAAAAAATCAAGTGAATTTTACGATCATAGAAATAGGAAATAAGTTAGTTTTGTGTTTGAGTCCAAATAGTGCAGTTCTAAGTATTAAAAGAAATTCTTAAGAATAATTTTCAAAATGAAGTAAGTTCTATAGTAATTATCTCAAATTTGAGTAGAATTTAACAAACTTCTCTTACTTTAGGTTATTAATCCTCGCATTTGCATCACTATGTTCAGCTATTTCTGTTGAAATTACAACACCAAGACCATCAATAGAATGTTCAACGCAAAATTGCATTATTTCCTTTGCAAACATGGACGACCAATCGTTTGAAGGGATGATCACGGAGGAGCAAAGTGGAATCTTAGCCTTGAAATTCTCATCATGCCAAATCGATCGAATCCCAAACTCTACATTCGACAAACTTCCATCGTTGCTTTGCTTAATGGTTACATCACCAGGATTAAGCATTATTGAGCACGGATCATTCTTGGAAGCATCAAATTTGCAGTTCCTGTATCTACCTGGAAATAGAATAAAGAAAATTCTTGGAAAGACTTTTGCCGGTGCCTCAAACTTAAATGACATCAACTTGAGTGACAATGAGATTGAAGTGATCAGTGATGATGCTTTTGATGGACTTGAGCATCTTGAAAGTCTGAATTTGAGCAGAAATCAGATTGCATTTTTTACACAAGCCACGTTTTCGCCAATGACTGATCTTGTGAATTTGGATATTTCTGGAAATACAATCGAGTTCCTTGATGCTCGACTTTTTATCAACAATCAAAACCTGAATGGAATTAACATGGCTGATAATCAAATTATGTCAATTACGAATGGATTCTTGGACATTCTTCCTCATATTAAGGTCCTAAACATCATGAACAATCCATGCACAAATGACACAGAACTTGAGTCAGTTCCATTAATTAAAATTGCTGACAGCAAAGACCAAAACATTGAAGATGAAGATGCACTTGATAAATGTTACCAAAACTTCCTCGACATGGCCGATCCAGAGTCAACAGATCTCAATGATTTGCTCAGTAAGGCTGAAATTGTTCGTGAAGATATTGAGACTGACATCATTGCTGATCTAACTGAACAGCTTCGTGAACGTGATGTTACAATTAAGGAACTTGAGAGACAAGATGATTTACTTAAAATTGTCATCCTGCTGTTTATTTCTGTTCTTTTATTCTTCGGAGTTCTTAAAATCATCGTTCATGTTGTCAATTCAACTTACCAAAGAGATGTCCATAGTAGGCTGATTGAGAAGGATGTTGAAGTCGTTAAAGTTGATCCAAAACAAATTATTTATACTATTGAGGTATAAAGGAACTGAAATAAGTTGAGATAGCTAGGAATTTAGAAATATTGACTGAATTGGAAGTTGTGGAAGATGAAGTTACTGAGATTTAGGCAATTGGGTTGGTGAAAAATTCATAAAATTGAAAATAATAAGGCTTTATAGTATTAATTAAGAATAATCGATGATGAAAATCCAAAAAAGTTTGTAGATTAATAATAATCAACTATAATCGAGGTGGGAAGTAATTCTGTACAATTTAGATAAAAAAATCATCAAAGATTGTAAGGAAGATCACAAAAATTGATGATAATATTAAATAGCGAAGGACATAGCACATGTAAAATATTAATTATGAGCACCTAACAATATACAAAATAAACTTTTTGATTTCTTATTAATAATCTTTTGATCTCTACTCTTACCTTATTTAAATTTTAACTCTCTGTTCGTTTTAAACTAGAATAATAACTTAGTTTAAGGCAAAAAGTGGCTCTTAGGTATTAATATTAAACTGTTCAGGTTATTCATCTGTCATTAGAAATAAAAATTTCAAAATCTTAATTTAATGAGTTGTTTATTTACTTCATCCTTTATCATAAACTTTATTTAGTTTAGGTTCCTACAAATGATTTTTAATTTGACTTTGATTCTAGCTCTTTCAGCTAGTTTGTTGCTCTTTTCTGTTAAGTCTTGTTTTTGATTCTTTAAGGATCTTGTTCATATATGATGTCGTGACAAGGATTCTTAGACTGTTTCTTCGTTCAAAGAATGCTCCTTCACTGAATTGAGCTACAACCTATTAACCATTCCAAAAAAACTTCAGAACAACTTTAAAATTACCAAAAATCATATTAAAATAATCATTCTCAAAAGTACCGCAAAATAAACAGCACAACTCACCAAAAATTTATTGAATTATCCAATAATTGGGAATGGCAATGAAAAAATTTGCAAATTATCATCATTACATCAGAATTCCTTTTTTCATGAATCCATAAAATTTTATTTGCAAATGAAATTTGATATTGCCTGAAATGAGCCGTTCACAGACATCAAAATAGTTTATGGAACCCTCAACAAAATATAATTTGATCATCAAAAAATGAAACAATAATTGAAGTAAATCGAAATTGAATGTGAATATAAAAACAAATAGACCGAATTTTATGAAGTAGATGAGTGGAAATTACGCAATTTCCACAAGTCTGCCTTTTTTCACCCTTCCGTGTAAAATAAAAAAAGAATCCTCAATTTTCGTGCACAATAAAATTTTCGTACGTTTTACTTTTCAAATTATCGCAAAAAGAACTAAGTTGGGGAGACTGAAAAGTCAATGAAAATTGGCAATCTAATTAGAATCACGTGGCAACAGGAACTATTCCTCACCCTCCGTTATCCAATTTCATTCATTCAACACAAACCTTAATAGATTTACAAATTTGCTAACTTCATAATAGACTTGATAGTTTGTGAAAGAAGTGAAGAATAAAATGGATTATTTTTAATAGTATCCGGGTTGTATGATGAGATACGGATATCCGTCAAAAGTCTTATGAATAAGAATAAGATGAGATGCTTTACTTTAGCTTACGTACTCTTCTCGAGGAGCTATTGTGTTATGTTATGGAATTAAAATTGTTTTATCTACTACGAATGGTAATTAAAATAATCAAAGATATTTTAAAGGGAATGGTCTGGAAGAAGGTTTGATATTTTGAGGAAGATTGAGGATTTTTGAACTCATTTGGATCAGCTAACGCCAAGAAACAGTTTAAAAGATTTTGATTAAAAAACAGTTTTGCAGCAAAAATAGTGAAAAACGTTAGCCGTAAATGTATGATTTACAATGAGATTCGAACTCATATCCCCTTATGTTTAAGATTAATAGTCTTATTTATCTTTCCATTGATCTACTGAGTGATTTCAAGTAATAAAGTTTGATTGACTATAAGTAAAACATAACTTAACTTACTTCTTAAAGACTGTTTTAAATTGTATCCACTTATCATCTTCTTTCATAAAAACCACTCCAAAAGTATATAAATTCAACTGCCAGATCCCCAAAAAAGTGCAACAAATTTATTGTTTATTCAGTAATTTCGCAACAAGTTGCAACTTCTGATAAAAACGAGAAGCTCTCCTCTAGTCGCAAAAAAAGAACTAGTAACTGAATGAAAATGCAGTCGTGGTGACGGAAGTAAGATTTCATTAAAGCTAATTAGCATTAATTAATTCTCAAGATTAAAATCATCGTACTGATCCATCCGCACACTTCCTTTCAGTTCTGTGTGCAATTTTTACAAAACTACTACTTAAAATGGATACAAAAACTGGCTGGTGTGAGTAAATTTCATCTTAATCCTTTCTTCTTACTTTTTGTTGCTCATTTTCTTCATCTTCAGGACTATAATGGAGAATTTTTTCTCTGTTCTCAGAAAAGCATAACGGAACCGGATCCAAAATGTCAACTAGTGTTATTTATTCACTTTTAAATTATAATTTTAAATTTTTTTTTTCAAAAAAATGTTAGTAATTTTGTGATAAAGTTTTATATGACTGAGCTAGTGCCAGCACTAAAGAGTAGTGGTGAAGAGGGGGCAAAGAAACAATTAAAAGTAATTAATTATGAAATAATACCGTGGCAATGTGATGTAAGAAGAAGAAGAAAACTATTACTATTGTTATACAATTGCATTATACGTGCGCTCATAAATTTCGTAGCGGCATAAAGGAGGAGTTTTTTTATGTAATGGTAAATTAAAAAGGCTTAACTATAGGTTATATGACTAAGCTCTACTGCATAATATACAAATCTCCACTTTGAGGCAAATCTCTGCAGTAGAAGGACGCTTTTTGAACTTTGAGCTGATTGTATGTCATTGTAATTCATGTGCGGATATTATGCATGTGGAAATGACGTAATAAGATTGAAGATTCTTGCTTTGTTTCTTATTGAGGATTCTTGAATATTGTACAAGATGGAGACTAGTTCTATATTAATCGCTTTATTGCTACACAAATAATTTCCATCACACAACAGTCTCCTTACAAGACCATTACAACCCTTTTCACAATATTTAAAAAAAAGATAATATTTGAAAAATTATAAATTGAATGAATGTTTTTATGGATGTAAGTAGCATCGTACGAGAAAAAAAAAAATCTCTTTTTCATGACCAGGAATTAATAAACGTGGGCTAAAAGGCCATGATAATAAATGAGGAAGGAGTTAAAGACAGAAGTGTACAAATGAGTTGATCGCAACCCAAACTTTTTTTTTTGCTTCACCCTTTTACTTTATTTTTTATATGTGTGCATTTTTTTTTTCTGAAGCAGTGGATGTTAAATGTGGTCGGGTAGCACATTATGTAATTTTTTTATTCCTTCAGCTTCTGTAACATTAAATTATAATAGCTGTAGATGTGTATTTTTATATCGGATTAATTTTTCTTTTGAATTTCGTTTTTTTTCTTCACTTCGCTTTACTTAATGGTTTTGTGTGAAAAAAGAAGGAAAATATGAGCGAAATGTAGGTAGGAAGATAATAAAGAAGGAGGAGTAGGGGAAATAAAATGAATTGAAATAAAAACAAAACTACAGAAGTATAAAGATTATAAGTATTAAGTCTCTTTTTGTTTTTGCATGTGTTTATATGTGGACAAGCATTGAGATTATCAATAAGGAAAAGAATGAAAGAAGATGAATGAAGTCTTAGAGGTAGTAAATCAGGAAATTAGTTCCTTAAATATTTTTTATGATCGGGAATTCATTTATGGGGATATCCTTTACATTAAAAGAATAACAAACCTGAAATATTATTTTAAAATGGGAGGATTTTGCTAGCCTTTAGGATGCAGGAATTGCAGATTATTGAAGGGATTTGTCATAAAATTTTAATGCAAAAAGGAGCGGATGCTGCTAATTTTTTGTGCTATAAAATTAAAATTTTAATATTTTCAAGAAAAAGGTGGTCCATCATAAAGTTTATAGGTTTGGAAATTCTGGATCTCATTGATTGAGGTTGGATTTGTCTACCTTTAAGAATATGAATGAATTTTATGGATATGCAAATTGGGAAGATTTGTTATGAAGTTCCAATATCTAGGTACCCGAAATATTTTTCCTTTACATTGTAAGTTCCTCACTTCTATTGCTATATTACCTAAAATTCTATTTTTATTTTTAATTCTATATTAAACTCATCCCATAATAAGCAAACCTTCCAGAATAAAACATTTAAGTCCATATTTTCTCATCCATAAAAATTCAACCCAAGTGCCTCAGATTTTAGATTTAAAAAATGTCCCAATAATTTATTCTTACTAATTGCAATTTTTTCTTATTTATCATTCATAAAAAAAAAAGAAAATCCGGCACCAGCAAAAAATAAAATAAAATAAAGAGTCAAGAGTGTCCCATGTGGCCAGTGAAAGGATTTTATTGAGAAAAGAGATTTTTTTTCTGTGTGCTCCTTTCATCCTTGAATTTTTATTTTATTCTACAAGTAAATAAAAAAGGAAGACAATCCACAGAACAAAAAAAAAATTATTATAAATTTTGTTTTGCTAAGCCATTGCTGCTGTTTAACTGATCTTTATTAATTTTTATGACAACCAAAATTTTTCGAGTTGGAAAGTTTTTTTTAAAGGATGCATTACTTTAAGAGGAGGAAGTATCTTTGACATGTGGTTTCGAAGCACTTTGGGTCGTAAAGTCTTTTTCATGTATAAGCTCATAGCTCATAGCTCAAAGTAGTGACCGAGAGGTCAATTTTGATAAAGGTGAATAGTCTAGATTCTCAGACTCAATTTCAGGACTCAGGATTCCTAACTTTAAGTTATTTTGACTAAAACTAGCTTACAAAAGCGCCCAATCCCTCAATCAAATCCAAACTTATGCAATGAATACAATTTATTTTCTTAAGATAAAAAAAGGAAGGAAAGGATAATGAAAAATCAGAAGGAGATGATTATGGACAACTGCAGCTCAATTTTTATATTTGAATAATAATCTACAAAAATACATACAATAATGAGAAAGAAAAACAGGCAATAAATGTTCCATAATTCTTCTCCCATTGCCATTACTGCTCGTTCATTAAAAATACTTCTTATTATCCTCGCTGTTTTTGCCTTCCTTAACTCTTTTTTTTTTCCTTCCTCATTTTTATTTTATTTCGTTTTTTTTGTGAAAAAAAAATTATATATTCGTAATGATAGATAAGATAAATTAATATTCCTTGAATAGCAAGATTAACAACAATAAGGAGGGATGCCTAAATACTTATAGCACACGCAAATACATAAAAATAATTCGGCGTATTTCTTTAAATAATTTTCAATTGCATCATAAAAAAGGAACAGAATAAAAATAATGGATGAAAAGTTTGAAATGTCTTTGAATGCGGGAATGATTTGAATTGCAACAAAATTTGGATTAAGATCAGTTTTGAGGATCATTGGAAACTTGGTTGCATCTAGTTAAATGTATACGGGTAA